ACCCCCTTGGGTACAGCCAGCAAGTGTCCTGGCTCTGGGGCCCCTGAGCTCGGGACCTAGAGAGGAACGAACACCAAAGAAGATGTCTCCCCCCCCCCGCCCCCCAGCAGGGAGTGAGGCTGGGGCTGAGGCCTGGGCCTGGACTTGAGGCCCATCAGCCTGACAACCTCAGACAGAAGGAAGCAGATAAGCCCCAGAGGCAAGAGCAGAGCACGGCTGCCTCCCTCCCGGCCCCCAGCACCAGAACTCCACCACAAATCCCGTGTGACCTGGGGCATGCCACTGTCATCTTTTTGGGGCGCAGTCAGGTAGGGAGGCTCCTAACCGCCCCAGCTTCTCATGGAATACAGCCAGTCCTGGTGAGAAAGGAGTGAGGAAGGTGTTTGGAAAGCAGAAGTGCTCACCTGTGCAGGGGGGCAGTGGGGAGGGGGGAGTCGTATTCTCAAATTCACAGATAAATCCAGGCTCGGGTCCCGGCAGCACCTGCCCTGGTCCCAGCACAGCAAAGACACCAGAGGTGGAAGCAGAAGTGCAGAAAAGGAACACCCTGGCCCTCGCCCTGGCCCCCACCATGGGCCATGCTGCAAGTCTCAAGGGGGAGGGTAGGTGGAAGCGGTCTCCTCCTTCCTCCTCGCCTCCTCTGCTCTGAAGGGTGGCAAAGATCAGAGGGAATGACACCTAAGTCCAAAAGACTGAGCTTGCCCACCTCATTTATCCTACGCTATCAGATAATGAACTGTTGGCCCTGCCTGAACATCAAGATAACGCAGGGCTAACCTTTTAAGCACCAAGATTTCTATGACTGTTTTAAGTGTTGCAGGGAGGGAAGTAATTCCAAAATGGGTGCACTGCTTCCTCCTCCTTCTTAAACATAGTATACAGCTCGGCTCACTTCCCTACCCCCACGTGGTCGAGGACACCACAGGCGAGCAGACCTAAAAAATGCTTCGTGACGACGCATTTGCCCCTCCACTAAATGGCCTCAGATCACTTGGTGCTTTCTGACACGTAGTTTTGATCTTTGTAATGTCATTACTGCTAGCTGTCACTTCTTGCTAGATCCAGGTAGCTGTTGTCATTCTCTTAACTCGCTTTCCTAGGAGAAAACAGAATCAAGTTCCCCAGAATTGAATTCAGAATTAAGGTGAACCCCACGAGGGATCTGCTGTTAGCACAATATTTGGTCCTAAACAAACAGAGCTTTTTAGCATCTGTTTCAGGGGCTCAAGATTAATTTTCCTTCATCTGAGTCCACAGCTATATAAGGGCTGAGTGAGCTTGCTTGGGTAAGTGGTCCTGGGAGGTGAGGTGTGTTTTGACCTTATTTCGGTAAGATAGGGACCATATTCTCCATGAACAAGTCTCCCAGGAGTTGGGGGCGGGGGGCTGGGGGGTGGGTCTCGTAAACTTTGCACTTGAATGTGGGATTCTGAGCTGCCTGCCATTTGGATCAAGTTCTCACTGGGACCACACCATTGGGGGCATCTGCAGAGGGAAGGGGCAAGGGGACGTGTCAACCCGTTGGAGGAGAGACTGAGACAGGATCCAGACACTACGTAGCTGGTTTCAACTGGAGCCTTTTCCAAAGGAAGGTGGAAAAGGAAGGAAGAGTGTAATGCAGCAGGAAGGGACCTCTACTCCCTGGGTCACACAGGCCATTTCTGTAGCACGTCTTCTCACCACTACCTTCCTACTTGTTTTCCGTGGGTTCGGTGGGGGTGGGGACAGATCACTGCACCCAGTTTCCCTACACACACACACACTCACTCCCTGGGGCCCAGGAACGGTCTGTGCCAGAGTGCAGTGTGGCCCACCGATGCTATCCGCCTTCCAGCACCGGTCACAGAATGACCTTCCCCTGGTCACAGGTTGGTGGTTCCGCACTCCAGAGACATCAACCCCTTAGCTCTGATCACAAATGCATGGTATGGTAATCCCAGGCACAAATAAATTCTTAATCCAGGCCCACTCAGAGCCCTCTAACCTGGGAGAAGAAATATCTATGTACCTTTGGTTTAAAAATATTTCTTAATGTTTATTTCAGTGCTTAAAATGTTCGAAAAAAGAAAAGCTATTTGGTACCTTTAAGAAGCCTCAGGCTCCAATCAGCTTTTCCCAACCCCCAATGCAGGGGTGCGGGGTGGGGGGTGGGGAATGCAGGAGAACAGGGTCCAGCTAGTCAGAAGATCCTCTAGTGGCCAGAGACTAGTGTCACCATGTCACCATCATCACCATCACTTGGGAGCTGTCTGAGAAAGGCCCAAGCCAGCTCACCAAGTCAGAGACCACAGGGCGGAGGCCCAGGAGCCCTTGAGAGCTCCAGGTGACTCAGACTCTGACAAGGGTTCAAGTTCCAGAACCGCTGCTCTAGAATAGTGGTTCCCAACCCTGGCTACATGTTAGAATCACCAGGAAAGTTTGAAATACCTCGGTCAAACCTCAGACCAACTGGATCTGGGGGCGGGTGGGGTCCCAGCAGAAGTATTTCCCAAAGCTCCTCAGATGACCCCAAAGTAGAGCCAGGGAGGGACCTCTCTGCCTTAGGGCAATGAATCTTAACCACTATGCAATAGAATCATGTAAGATTTTTAAAAATAAAGATAGGAGGCCCTCTCCCTAAGCCGATAATATCAGATTCTCTGTGAGGGCGGGGACGTGGCATGGGGGTTACTTTATGAAGATCCCCAGGTGATTCTAATGTGCCCACAAGGCTGAGAACCACAATTCAGAGGAAATAAAACTTTTACCCCAAAGCTGAGCAAGTCATTTTTTTGAAAGAAATGAGTTACTTAGTTGCCAAGGGAACCATCCCCCGAGTGGAAAGAAAGACAGTCCCTGATTTCTGGCTTTTGTGCCAAGAGCTACATCAGCGACTGTTTTTTGAAATGAAAAAAGCCGGGAGGTGGGGGGGCTTCACATAAAAGAAAATATGCAGGGGAAAATATCTAGACTTGAAAAAAGATGGGCAGAGCTGCTGCCTCTCGGGACGCTGTGTAGCCAGGACAGCTGAGGCCTGCTAGCAAAGCAGACCAGGTCCGCGCCGAGCCTCCACAAAGGTGCCAAGATCATCAGAAGCCAGGGACAGACCAAAGGCCCAGGACAACTGCTCCAGATGGAAAGGAAAATCAGAATTCTATTACAGAGACACTGGAAACAGTTAACATCATTGAAGAACAGCTTGTACCTGCCTAAATGCTTCTGTGAGAAATAAACCAGTCACAAAAAGACAGATACTGTATGATTCCACTTATGCGAGGTACTGAGAACAAATTCACAAAGGCTGAAAGCAGAGCCGTGGGTGCTGCGGGCCAGAGGTGGGGTGTGGGGGGGGTGGGAATGGGAGTTCTCCTCTGATGGGTACGGAGCTTGTTCTGCAACATGAAAAGTGTTGTGAAGATTGGTCGCACAACAATGTGAATGCACTTAGCACTACTGAACTGTATACTTGAAAAATGGCTAAAGTGGTCAATTTTATGTACATTTTATCACAATCAAAAATAGGGAAAAAAAGTATATCTGATCATATCCAGGCCAAAATGGATTTCATAAATGTTTTAGATTCCCAATTATTTCTTTTGTTGCTAGCTTAATGGCAGGTTATATTTTATACTCATGTTTATACAAAGTGCAGAAGTTGGGTTGTGTGCCATATTTCCACTTTCATTCTTTTCTCACTGAAGCCCCTAGTCTGAATTTCAAGCCAGACATCACCACTCACTCAGCAGCAGCCACCGAATGGCAGGCATCATGGGGGGTGGTTCTGCAGTAGTTATGCTGACATCGAAGGTGAAAGAAAAGAAAGAGCCAAGGTTGACCCAGTTTCTGGGGAAAGTGCAGGAAAGCCATTCACCAGGGGAGGGATGCGGAAGGGAGGAGGCAGAGGGACCTGTGCTGAGTGTCTAGTTTGTGCCGGGTTCTGTGCTAGACATTGTGAGACCCTATTTCACTTGACCTTTGCCACAGCTAGAGAGGCTGGTGTCTTGGCCTCACTCCTCAAATAATGGATCAGAGGATCCAGGGACTTAGGCAGCTCCCTGGAGGTCACCCAGCTAGTACATGGTAAGAGGGAACCCTGAAGCCAGGTTGTCCTTTCAACTATGTCAGCTGAGGACACGATGAGATTGGAGATGCCGCGCAGGTACAGACGTCCAGGAGGCTGTGGTGAGTGTGCTTCTGATGCTCTAAGGGAGACCTGGCTTGCAGGAAAGGGGGCTGAGACACAGGGACAGGACAGGGGGGTGTGAGGAGGTGAGATTTCTGCAGGAGCATGCCTGCTGAGAGAAGAGAGCCCTGAAGAAGCCTCACAGGAGGTGAATCAACAAAGGGGCCTGAGAAGGTGCATTCAGAGACAGAAGGAGTCAGGGGAGGGTGGTTTGTTAGGAAACAAAGAAAGAGAGGCCTCAAAAGGATGGTGAAGCCACCACCACCACCCCCATCACATGTCACGTGAATGTCAAGGATGAGGCCTGAGGAGCGGCCACTGCTTTGGCCATCACCAACCTTCAGAATTCCAGCTTAACTCCGTAGGCCCTGACCTCTTCCCCTGGTAACTGTCCTGGAGTGCAGACTTGCCAACTCCCTGCACAGCTCCTGTGCAGCATGTGGGCTCTGGACTCAGCGTCTGAACACCCTCTGGGAAGAGCACGGGCCACGATTTGATGGTTGGTTCCGGGCACCCAGCACAATGCCTGGCACAAAGTAAGTGCTCAGTAATTACTTGTTGAGGGCCCAGCTGAAGCCAGCCCTGTGCCCTCCCTCAACCAAAAGGAAGCGCTGCCCCTGCTGGCTCCCCCCACTCAGCAGAGTACAGGGCTGGGGGCTCCCTGCTCTCTGCAGCACCAGGTGACGAGCCAGCAGAGTCGCCCCAACAGCTTTGCTGCTGAGTTTCACAGGCTGCATCTGACCTTGAGCCACCTTCCGTTCTGCTTGGCTAAGCACTGAGTCATTTACTTGTTTTTGCTGCCTTTTAACCCTGGAGCAGTGAGTTTAGCACAGAGAAAGACATGAGGGTTGTTTTATTTGTGGGAAATCGATTTCCCTCAAATGAGAATTTAACTGGTAGTCTGCATTACCCCATGGTACGGAGTTGGAGGAGCAGGGAACAGAGCAGGGGGCTTCCTGAGTCAAGGCCCACATCCCTTGGAGCCTTTGAACACAATGTTTTTCCCACAAACACCGACTGCAGGAGAACAAGCATGGCCTGGAAGTCAGGAGACTGGATGAGTCCCAACTGAGGCACTCGCTGGCCATGGGACTTGGGCAAGTCACTCAACATGTTGTCACCTAACATGTATGCTTTCTGGGCATCTCCCCTCACCTACAAAATGTAGAGATGATCTCAGCTCCCTGCAGGGCTGGAGTGGCACCCATTCTACCACGGGTGGGTGAGTGTTGCTACAGTGGATGCGGGTGGGGGACACCTCCAAGCAGAGACTGCCTCCGGACCCAGGACAGCCTCCCAGAGCATTTGTCCCTGGAGCAGGGCCCAGTAACACCCTGCAGAGGCACCTCCATCAGGATCCCTCTTGTTCCAGCCCTCATGACACTGGCTGAGAAGCAGCTGAGACAGACGAGCATAGGCTTTGGGGTTCCACAAACCTGGGTGCGATCGCCTCCATTGGGTGCCTGACCATGGGCAAGTCACTAGATCACTGTGAGCCTCCAGTAGGAGCCTCCTTACCTAAGGGGTCTTGTGAGGACCACAGGAGATAATTGCAAAGAAATGTGCTGGGCCTGACATAGAATGAGAGCACACTGAATGTTAGCTGTTATAATAGTAAACACTACTTGTGGCTCAGATCTGTATATCAGGGATGCCTCCAAAAACAAATTAGAGGTTGTAAAGACCCTAGAGATCTTTCGTAAGCCTCTAATTGTAAAGATGAGGCAATAGGTCTGTGGTGAGAGAAGAGACTCGCCCTAATACCCACAGGCAGAAATGGGACCATGAGTCCTGACTCCTCTATGGAGTGAATCATGACATTCTATCCCCCGCTCCTACAAGGGCCCTGCTGGGGCAGACACCAACCCACGGCACCCCCAAGCAGTGGGAATCCTGATGTCTGATTGCCACGGCTCCTGCCCCCAACACACTTGGAACAGAAGTGTCACCCAGGGGCTCTGTTCAGTAGGTCACCCCTCTTTCTAGGTCTGTCTCCTTAAATGAGACAAAATGGTCTCTAGGAGCCTCACAGTTCTGACATTCCACAGTTTCAAGAACTGGGCTCAATTAACCACAAACATGCAGATGGAAACCTCAGCTAACTGGAACCTTCCCGAGAAGTATCTTCCTTGGGAGGGACAGACAGAGCCCAAGAAAGCCTGGTCATCCCCAGGCTTGCACAGCTTTTCCCAGTGTATGGCTCACTAGGGTCTAGTTTGTCTCACTGGCTACTTCCCTGCTCTACAGACAAGCAGCCCAAGGCTTGCCCAGTGAGGACCAGGGCTCAGAACAAAGGTGGAAGGTCAGCCTCCAGAACAGGGTTGTGCATGGAGCATGCCCTCCAGGAAACACAAGCCCAAACCAAGGGATTAGCCAAGAAAGGAGCCCTGGACCAGCAGCCTGGAAGCCCAGGGCTGAGCCCATGCTCTCCTCTGTCTCTCCCTGGCTGGGCCTGCTTCTCTGCCTATAAAATGCAGTCACCAGATTGTGCTCCCCACTCCCAGCTGACACCTCACAGCTCCTTGCCCTCCTTGGGCTGGGCTGGGGTATGCCCTCCACCCCGAGAGGACAGTGACTCTGCCTTTATTGGTCATCCTGTCTTCCCAAGCCACCCCCAGACCCAAGCAGAATAGGCTTCTGAGAAAAGGCAGGAGGGGCCTGAGGTCCTCCAGAACTAACATTCCCCGAAGCTAGGTTCTAAGGCAAGTCTCCGTGGGTGTCTATCAGGTAGGACCACACTGATGGCCCAGACAGCATGCGGGAAGCAAAGACACTGAACTTCAGAGGCGAAATGCCATGCTAACTCCTTTCAGCCCAGGCACAGTTAAATTCCCAAAGCACAGGCTCCGGGGGTCCATGGGTGGGGAGGCCACCAGGTTGCATGATGCAGGAAGTCCTGCCTTCACAGTGGAACCCTCAGTGATGCTGGTGTTGGAGGCCGTGAGGCACTTCCATCTGCGAAGCTCATCAGTCACATCTCAGCGCTTTCCAGCCTGGAGCCTAGAGTTTCAGCTCAGGAACACAATGCAGCAGGATTCCGCAGGATTCGGGAACAGAAAGAGGAAGGGATCTTATAAATAACTCCTGGTTAAAATAGAGCTGAAAATAAGGAGACGGGAGAGGAAGCATATTGTGAAGCACGGATTAAGTCAATACCATTGACCTGAAAACCTTCGTGCAAATGGCTGGTCCTTGTCATTAGGAGGATCAGACACAGGATTGGACTTGGAGGTGCCGAGACTGTGTGTGTGTGTCTGAGGATGCGTGTGAAAGAGCGTGGCTCTCAGCTGAGAGTGTTGAGGCGAAGATGCTAAGACACGGGGCTTGAATTACATCTCATGGTGTCACTTAAGGGACTTACATCAGCTGGAGTGACCTTGATTAAACCCTGGACCTCCCTAAGCCACTGTATCTGTCTTCATGGGAAGGTCCAGCTGCTGGGTAGATCTGTAAGCTCAGAGACTCTAGATAGCAAATCACGGCTGGGGCCTCAGATAAAACTCAGGAAGCCAAATCTTGACCGTTGCTCACATGTTCAGTCTCCCTCTTTTCTGTCCTTCAGGGCCTTCCCTCAGCAGTGGCAAGGCCACTACAGTGTGTGCTTTCCCGAATGCTAAAATTAAGTGCAAATGTGCTTTAGTCACTTGCAACCCCCAAGGCCCCATCTTGAGGCTTGGCTCAGCAGCATGCTCCCAGTGGGCAGGGTGGGGACACGGGGACACCCCTGCCCCTGCCAGCCGAGGCCAGGATGCTTAGCACAGAGCCGATTCTACCCGGGGCCTCCCCATCCCTGCCTCCTGGCCCACTCACCCAAAAAGGAAGCTGAACGCCCCGAGGTAGTGACAGCCCCAACGCCAGGCGCCCCCCACACTGCCCGGCGCAGGAAGGAGAGGAGGAAGGGGAGGAGCGCGGTTCTGCTCGCGCAGGGGTGGCCGGTGGCGGGCCAGCGGGCACCGCCCTCAGCAGCAGCTGCAGGTGCCTGTGTGCACGCGCAGGATGCCCCGGCTGTGCAGGTGCAGGAAGTTGAAGATCTCGGAGGGCATGGCGTGGAAGCCGGGGCGGGGCTTGACGTTGTCGTAGTAGTGGTGGGTGATGTAGAGGCCCGAGGGGTTCATGGGGAAGGCCCAGAAGCCGAACAGGTGCACTTCCTCGCAGAGCTCGAGCGCCGCCGTGGCCAAGATGAGGCCGGTGCTGATGCGCTTGGCGCGCACCCCCAGGCTGAGCCAGTAGCGCGACACGTTGACCAAGTACTGCGGGTGGAAGTAGTACACGGCCTGTGGGGACTCGAAGTCGTCCAGCACGTACTTGACGCGGATGGACACGTCGGTGTTGCGCGTGTTGTAGAAGGCCGGCAGCAGCACCGACGCGTTCTCGTACACCTGCAGCACCCGGTAGAAGGGCCGCCGCCACTTCTCCAACTTGTGGAACCTGGGCGGAGGCCAGAGCGAGACGGTTGAGGGCCAGGTCCCCAGGCCTGGGCCCCAGGAGCCCCTGCTGCCCCCACCCGGCACCCTGGGCCTGCAGAGAGGCCCATCCCGCTCCCCACCCTGTCACTCACCTCCGAAGATGAACGCCCTGCCTCTCCCAGCTGCCGCTCTATTTGTGTGCGGAGCCCAAAGGGACAACAGTGTAGGGAGGGCCACGCTTCACCCCAAAGGATGAGGGTGCCCCAGGGTGGGCTTGGTGGGGAAGTGGAGAGGAAGCAGAGGCTCTCCCTGGAGTCCTCAGGGTGTTCACCTGTACCTTCTTTTCCAAGATCCCCAGTGAAGTATGACAAATGAGCCCACGTGTCCTCTCTGCCCTCCTGCCCCACAGCCCTCACTTACCTTTTTCTTCACATTAAAGAGCCTCCCCCCCCCCCCGCGCCCCGTGGGCTCATCTCTCTCCTCTCTGATGCTCCTTTACTTTGCTGACTCAGTACGTGCTGCTGGCCATTGCACCTGATTTACCAACTCCCCACCCTCTGGTCTCTGGACTGTTTTCCCTTCCACCCCCAGCCTGACCTGGATGGTGTGATGATGCCTCTGGTTGGAATTTTAACCCAATAGCACCCTACCCTGAGGCCTCCCAGACACATGGACCCCCAGGAGGGGAACTGGGTAGGTTCTGAGATCTTTGCGGGAGGCCTCTTCCCAGAGCTGCAGGGACATACCAGCATGGGGAGCTGCCTGCCCCATCACCACTGGAAAGCTTTATGGCACATCTACGTGAAGACTGTCTAGTACTGGTGCTGTCCAAGGAAAATATAATATAGGCCACATATGTCATTTTAAATGTCCTAATGACTACATGTAAATAAGTAGAAAGACATGGGTGAAATTAATTTTTATCATCTTATATTTAATGCTTACAATGTTTTATTTAACTTGACATACCCCAAAATACTATGATTTCTACATGCAATCAATATATGCAATTGATGACCAAGGGGTCATCCTCTTTTGCATGGTAAGTCTTTGACAATCAGGTGTGTGTCTGACGCTACAGAACAGCACACGTCAATCTGGACAGCCACATTTCCTGGGGCCGTAGCCACATGTGACACTAACAACTGCTATATTGAACAACATGAGTTTGGAGGGTCACTGACCTCTCTGTGATGATGCTGGGGTTCACAGTGACCACATCCGTCTTCACCCCCACATCCATGGTGTACTTCTCTGAGATGGGGGGTAGGTTGCACCTGCAGAAGAGACAAGGTGGCCCAGCTGCATGTGCTCACTCATTCTAGATGGAGCTGAAGAGTGGGCAGAGTGAGGGTGTGAGGAAGGATGAGATGGTGCTCATACGGGGCAGAGGGATGCAGAGGCAGCCAGTGGGTGGATTCTTGGTAGCCTGTGCTCAGAGAGGCAGGTTTAACTCCTTCCCCCTCCCACCCTGAGTGGCACATTGATTACAGATCCATGACCCATGAGACCCCACCGCAGCCTCGACCCCAATCCCTTTGCTTTAAGCTTTTATTTCTGACCCGTTGTCTTTATCCAGGCTCAACACATATCACCAAAGAGATAAGAGGGGGATCTCTCTATGGAAGAAGAAATACAAGGACCAGTCTCTAGCTTAAAGCCAGCATTGGGGTGAGCCACAAGGCTGCCGTGGTTCCAAGCCCAGCTTCTGGAAGAGTAGAACCCAACCAGGGAGGTGGCCATCCAGATGGCCTCAGCAGCAGATGTGCACATCCCCTGGGGGTCTTCAGTGCCATCATATCTGCCATGCTCCTTATGCACCTCCCATTCTGCAGATGTAGAGACCCAGGCCCCAGCAGGTTCAGCCACCGGCCCCAAGGGACAGGGCGGGGGAAGGGAAGGAGAAAACCAGAGTGTAAAGGTGTGCAGCGGTGGGGAGAGGGGACCGATAGGCTGAAGGAGAGCATGAGGGCACGGGGGTAGGGTGCCACCAGAGGGAAGGGCACGGTGCAGGAGTGCCATGGGCAATTCTCTTACCGGAAGACAAAGTCAGCACTGTTGATCTCTCTCCCACAGCGGCTGTTCTTTAGGATGCCTCCATTGCCCACCACTGCACACTTCTTAAACTGGGACCGGTAGTAGGGCATGTCCTGGGGGAGACGGGAGCACAGGGGTCAGAGGCAACTCCTTTGCCCTGCCTTCTTCTGCTGCCCTCTCCGCTGTACCCATGGCCACCTCTGTGAGCCAGCCTCACGGAGAACGTGCGGGAAGAGTGGTTGTTCCACTTTGCAGACAAGAAGAGAGGTCAGGACACTTGTTCTCAGTCCCACTGATGATTACAAATGAACTGGAAGAGAAGCCAGGCCTCATAGCCTTTTTTAATAAGCTGTGGGATGCCTCAGGCTTCCAGAAAGAAGGGAGTATAGGTTATGGCTCATCCTGCTTGCCTTTGATTTGCCCAGTGTTTGGCAGCTCATCTTCTCTGTAGCTTCCAATATGCATGTTTTATGAGTTAATGCAAATATGCTGGGGGATGACAGCAGCAGAGATGGGGCCAGGACCACCCGGGGCCCATACCTGGCCCTTACCCCTTTCAGCTCTGGGCAGAGTACAGAGGGAGGACACAGGCCTGGAACACAAGGGTCATATGGACTGGGACAGATGCCAGGACTTGGCAGCAGCAGGGACAGAAGACCAAGGGCTGAGGGAGCAACAGGGTGCAGTGAGAGCCTGCAACTCCTCAAATCTTGGCAGAGGAAGAGCCCTGAGTGCAGGAGAGCCCAGGACTTACCCCGAGTGACCCGGGAGTGATCATCTCATAGCACTTTGACCTTAGCACACCCTGACTGCTGGGTAACCCTGGTATGGGGTTACCCTGGTATGGGCACTGACTGCCTACAAGGCTCCTGGGGCATGCCCTCCAGGGGACCACAGGCAAGTTGGCAGGAAAAAGCAAATGCTGGATTGAGGGTTAAGAGTCCTGATTCTGCTACATCCCTGCTCTGGGTCATAATCGCCTCCTGAGTAACCTGAGGCAGATGGGACCCCAGCAGCCACATGCATGGCATGGGGCAGAAGCAGAGGCCTGAGTCACGAGTGGGGTGACCAACCACCCCAGTTAGCCCAGAACCAGGGAGCTTGCCTAGGATGCAGGACTTTGCTTGAGTCAAACCCGGAAAATCCAGGGCCAACCAGGATTGGGCAAAGACCACGGTCAGCCCTGGTTTTGCCCCATAAGGAGGTGAAGGAACCAGGGACAAGTGTTCTGAGTTCTCAGCAACTCGGTTTTTCCATCTGCAAAATGAGGATAATAACATGCAAGTGTCATGCTTTTCAATGTGACCATGTAGGACAGTTTCTCAGCTGAACACTTGTTGACATCTTGGACTAGATCACTCCTTGTTGTGGGGGCTGCTGCCCCACGCACTGTAGGATGGCTAGCAGCATCCCTGGCTTCTCCCCACTAGAGGTCAAGGGTATCCTTCACTCATGAACCCAAACATTTCCAAACACTGCCAAATGTTTCCCTGGTTAAGAACCATCGGTGTGAATAAAAAGCCTACCCAGGGCTGTGCTTGCCCAGAGATATCTTGGCAAGGGGACCCAGTCCTGTTACTGTCATCGGGCCACAAAGCTCCCTTGGCCCAGGAGCCTGCTGGGTAGTTCCCCTCCCAGCTCACACCAGCCGGCCCGCCCTGGATGCCAGCAGCCTGTTGGCACCTCGGCCTTCTGGTGGGGCCACCTGCTAGCTGGGGCATGGATAATCACAGCACCTCAGACCCTGGGAAGACTAGATCTGTGGGAGGTACCCCATCAGCCTGTGGCAATGGGGCCCATTTTCCCTAGAGGGACAGGCCCAGGGGCCAGGAGGGGAAACACGGGTATGCTAGAGCCAGTGGGAGAAACTGCGCTGCTTGACTTTTACCAGAAAAAGGAAAAAAACCCAAAGTTATCTTTGGAGACATCCTCAAAGGCCTTCATGTTCTATGTCGGTGTTTCCCAAACTTCTGCACATCAAAAACAACCTGGAGTACTTTCTGGAAATAGAAATCGCTGGGCTCCATCCCAGAACCATGGAATCAGAATCTCTCTAGGGCGGAGGCAGGAGACCGAGAAGCTGTATTTCATGCAAACCCCAAGAAATACTTCTGAGGGAATAGTTCTATGCCACAAGCTCTAATGTGGGGGGGAGTGGGGTTGGCTAATCACGCCCGAGGGCCACATCAGACCTTCTGTGCGTTTCTGTGCAGCTCACGGACAAAGCATGGATTTTATATTTTCAAATGGTTGGGCGGGGGGGGGAGGGGAGGCAATCAAAGGAGGAAGATTTTGTGACACGGATAAGTCACATGAGGCTCCCGTGTCAGTGTCTAATGGGAACCAGAGTGCTGTTTGCGAAGGCCGGTGGCTGCTGTGTGCTGTGACCACAAAGGTGGATGGCTCTGACAGGGACCAGATGGCCTGCAAAGCTTAAAATGTTTACTCTCCTGCCCTTTCCAGAGAACATTTGGCAACCCCGCTGCAGCTCCCTGAGCCTCGGAGGTCTCTACTCATGGCCCTCCCTGGAGCCATATGTCATAACCGAGCCGTGTGTCACAGCCGGTGTGACACGCAATCCTACCCACTGTCACCGGCTTCCCACTTCAGGCCTTGAAAGCCCCACATTGTAGAGGGGGCTTATATCAGTCACCCTCCAGCACTGTGACGTGGGAGGGTAAGTGTGGCGCCTCCCCACCTTCGGCTCCTACCTGCTGCCCCCATGGGACCCCATCTCACCCGGGGCCCTCCGGGCAAGTACCCTGGGCTGTGTGTGTCACAAGCATTCTCGTGGGAGCAGGGAAGTGTAGGCCCTTGAATTTCTTCCAGAAAGGCCTGAACACACCCTCTACCCAGGCTGTCTATACACTGGACCCAGTAAGGTCTGCCCTGGGCCCTGTGCTCCCCAGGATATGGTTATGCATCCCTCCCGTGGAATCTTTGTCCTCATCAGAGTGGGCTGACCACGCAGGTCCCCAGGCCCCTTCTCTGGGAGTCTGATGCCATGATCAGGCCACAGGGGAGTGCTGCAGCTTCAGTGACTCAGGGGACCACCTACCCGGGACCAGGGAGCCACCATGCCAGCCCTGAACGAATAGCTTGCCTCCAGACTTTTCTTATGTGGAAGAAGAACAATTAACATTGATCTTGTTTAACTTAGATTTTCTGTTACAAACAGCCAAACTGGGTGCCTGAGTGGCTCAGGGGTTGAGTGTCTGCCTTCGGCTCAGGTCCCGGGATCGAGTCCCGCCTCAGGTTCCCTGCATGGAGCCTGCTTCTCCCTCTGCCTGTGTCTCACCTCTCTCTCTGTGTCCCTCGTGAATAAATAAATAAATAAAATAAAAAACAGCCAAAGCTTTTCCTAGACCAAACTCCAGGGTCATGGACAGGGAGGAGAGGCCTTGGAAGATGCCATCCAAGGTCATCCAATGTGAGATCAATCATTCTTGCTTTGCTTTCTGCTGGTTTGTGATTTCTTGTGCACACAGCCTTTGCATGAATGTTTTTGCTGCTGCTGTGCCTGCCTTCAGTGGGGGACAAATGCCTAATCACTCTCCCAGGTAGCTTCAGGATGTCCTCCGCAGCAACGCAATAACCAACATTTGATAACCACTCTCTTGCCAATGTCACTCAGACAGTGGCCAGTTGGCATTCACCATGTCCACACAGTCTATCCACTGGGCCAACCAGAGCCAGGACAGTGGGCGCAGAGGGCATGGCACAGTGATGCCACCACTCCACCCGGGCACGGCCAGCCCGCCCTGCCCGAAGCAGCACCTTGGGAAACATGCGGAAGATCTCCTGGTTGATATGGTAGATGCCGCTGGTGTCCACTTCATACTTGAGCTTGGTCCCCAGGGGCGTGTTCTTCTGAGTGGTGAAGAGGAAGGAGGGGGCATTGCAGCACCGGGACAGAGTGGACCTGCCAGGCAGGAAACAGAGCAGGACAGACAAGTGACACGGGGCAGAGCAAAGCTCCTGGAAGAACAGAAGGGTCGTGGAATGAGGCCCCTGGGGATGACCAGGGAGCACTGTTCTCACCCCCTACCCCTTCCCGCACTCACTCCCCACTCCCACACCTCTGCTCATGCCATCTCCTTCAACACCCTCCCAATGCCTGGGCCTTCCTCCCTGGGAGCTCCCAGCTGCCCAGCCCCCGCCCCCCAGCATCACTGGCCTCCGAAGCCCCGGAGCACAGGCTGGACACCATCCGCGTAGTCACCTACCAACCCCCTCCCTGCCTGAAGCCCTTGACGGCAGGGACCCCGCTTCTCTGGCTCCCAATTGTGGGCTAAATCCTGCCTCACTCAGGCGCTCATTTAAATCCACTAAGCATTCTACTACTTGCTAGAGGTGCTGTTGATCCAGCCTTGATGGCAATCTGGGGATACCGAGCTCATCCTTAGGTTCCTGGCCCCTCCTATCAGACTGTAAACAAGGTGTTTACCCTGTGTCATAAGGTCAAAAAACTGAGACAAAATGGTCAGCAGAAGTGTGCAATTTCGATCCCTGAGAAGTATCTTGGGGCGGGGGTGTTAGGAAGTGGGTTGGTGGGCTGGTGCTGGACCACTTCCTGCAAAAAGAGGAGTCTCATTGATTCCAAAACAGGTTTTCAGGAGCTCACTATTGAAAAGAAAAAAGGAAAGAAAGAAAGAAAATAAAAGAAAAAAAAGAAAAGAAAGGAAAGGAAAGGAAAAGAGAGAAAGAAGAAAGAAAGAAAGAAAGAAAGAAAGAAAGAAAGAAAGAAAGAAAGAAAGAAAGAAAGAAAAAATAAGAAAGAGAAAGAAAGAGAGAAGGAAGGGAAGGGAAGGGAAGGGAAGGGAAGGGAAGGGAAGGGAAGGGAAGGGAAGGGAAGGGAAGGGAAGGAAGGGAAGGGAAGGAAGGGAAGGAAGGAAGAAGAAGGAAGGAAGGAAGGAAGGAAGGAAGGAAGGAAGAAGAGAAAGAAAGAAAGAAAGAAAGAAAGAAAGAAAGAAAGAAAGACAAAAAAAAAGAAAGAAAGAAAAGCAGCAGCCCCGTGGTTTTCACCCACAAACCTCAAACACAAGGGACAGAAGGGTTAGAGCTCAGATGATGCAAGCAGTCTTGACAAGCAAAAAATAACACACAATCTTCTTCCTCCTAGGGAGAAGGTGGCTGCTGAGGCCGAGCTGGGAGTCGGCCAGGCCAGAGGAGGTGGAGGCGTCCCTCGCTGTGGCCACTGCTCGACCTGGTCACTCCATCTCTGAGGCCCAGTGAGAGGTTGAGGACTGGGCCCTGCCTTCCCCTGCCCTGGGGGCTGACGCCCTCCACCTGGGCTGCCCAGGGCTGGGCCTCACAACACAGGCAAGCTGCTGCTCGCACCAGGGCCTTTGAATTTGAAGAGTTTTCTGGAAAGTGCCCATCCAAGGTCTGGGATGGAAACTCGGGGTTGCTGACCTGGTGTCAAGAGGCCTGGGTTCTAGATTCTGCTGTGCCCCTGGCTGCAGTGGGTCCCTGGGCAGGTGTCTTCCCCAGGCTGGACCTTGGCTTCCTGGTCTACAGAATGCAGCCTCAGCTCATCCACCTCTGACCCTCTGTAATTCTGTGACTCTGGGCTGCCAACGCCACGGAGGTGATAATATATTATTTTCATGACTTTCTCTCTTGCGGGGATTTTACTGGGGAAGCTCAGCTGGCTGCTGGTCACAGAGGTCTTTCCTGTGGTGTGTTGAGTTTCGGAATGTGACTAAGGCTTCCCAAAGTTAGGGCCAGAGGCCTCGGGTCAGTATTGGCCCATTTAGCTTTGTTGGTCTAGAAACTCAATCTTATCTGCCTGCTGGAGAGAACTCCATGGGGATGGGGAGAGTGAGAGGGAGGGGAGACTGACTCCCATTAACCAAGCTCACGAGTGACTGATATATAAACCAGAATGCCCATGTGTCTATTTGTAGGCAGTGGGGGGGGGGGGAGCTCACGTCTGTCTTCTAGCACAGCCCTACCACCCCACCCCATTGCACTGTGCCTGGTTCTTACAAACCTGAATTAAGGATCTTATCGTGGTTCAATGAGCTTGTAACAAGAGCAAAGGGAAGCAACCCACCAGCCTTGAAGGTTTTTCCATTTAGAGTCTAGCAAGACCTGATGTCATCTCCTTTTGCCACACCTGAAACTATTCCCCCACCCCCACCCCCACCCTCAGAAGGGTCTCAGCTCCTCTAGAGCCTCTTCCCTGGGTAGTGCTGGCAGGTCCTGCTGAAGACTCCCATCTTTATCCTTGTTTTTCTCCTGCTACATCATCTTCTGTTGCTTCATTATATCCTTAGATGTGTGAATCCCACTAGGCTCTCAGCCCCAACAACATCTCTTTACATGTCACTGACCTCGTGTGTGGTGGGTGTTTATGAACTGTGCAGCCAGTATGCTCAGGCCTCACCCAGCCCCAGGGGGCGTCTGCCCATGCAGTGCCCACGGCGACACCCCAGGCTAAGCAGTGGATTTGGGGTGTCACTTGCTACAGATCTTGGACCTGCCTCCAAGCACTGAGCTCAAGTTCATGGTCAACTTTTAGGATGGAGGGATGGGGTCTCTGCACAGTCCTGTTGGGTCTCAGCCAGCCTCATAGAGGCCTCTGGTTTCATGGCTGCGGGCACCTACTTCTCAGAGGTTGTCACATCCACATGTCTAAAAATGGGCCCCTTAAAACTACTGCACGGTCTCCAGACCTGGCCTGGAACTGCAGCAAACTGGGACAAATGACTTATAAGGAAAAGACAGAAGACTTAGGGTCATTGGCTTTTCACAGCCTCCCAGGTAGGATCCCCACATGCTGTTGGCTCCTCGGTACACGTGAACTACAGCCTGACTTGCCTGCACCCGATTTATACACAGACTCCTGGGATCCCATCGATCCTGGTCAGTGAGGTCTATCTGCACAAACATAATACCGTGAGCTCACAGAGGTTCAGCGACGGCACGAACCCTCTGGTTCACACCAACCAGGAGGGATTTGTGGACATCTGCCAGCTGCTTAGCTCTCACAAACAGGGCAGCCTTAAGCTACAGCTCTTGCCTCTCTGGAAGTTTATAATCTACCACTTTGGGTTAGAAAAGCAATTGGAAACAAATCTGCAGCAGGCCTCATGTGTGTAGTGAGGGGGGCGGCAACAGGCTGAGGCCCTTGAAGATGCCCAGCATGCCTTAAACACCAGACACCCGGAGCCAAGCACGGGTCCGTGATGGAGACGGTGTCCCTGCTGGCCCTGCACTGCAGGGCTGCTGTGAGGACAAAGGGCCGGCAGCCAGCAAGGTGCCCCCTCTACCTGTGCACTGAGCCCCACTGCCCAGAGCCCAAAGCCCAGCCAGGGCCAGCTCCAGGGAAGGTGAGCCCAGGGCTGGGCCCCACAGGACGGGGTGGCAGGCAGGAGAACAGCACCAGTGAAAGGGCTGGGGGAGGGCAGACAGGTCACACATACTTGAACTGGTTGGCCTCAGAAATATTCATCGCCCATCGGCACATCTGCAGGCTCTTCCATCTGTCGAACAGCTCCGACTGCTTCACCCTTTGGGAGTGGAGGACAGAAGAGCATGTGAAAGGGGCCAGGCTGGGCCACGTGGCAGCGTTCCCAAACACCCCTTCCTGCCCCCGCAGGTGCCGAGTCCGGGCACGGCCCTTTCCATGCCAACCTCTGGAGGCTTGCTCATTCCCAGAGATAGCCAACTGCTCTCTGGCAAGCGTGCCTTCCACCTTCGGACCAGCCAATCCCAAGCCTGCATCCTCCTCATCAACCTTGTCGACTGAGCCACCAGCCCCAAGGGAACTCAGGAACTCTCTGAATTATAGGCAAAATCCCCTGTCTGTCCACCCATGGGATTTCTTGAGGAGAATCAGAAGCTTCATCAGCTTCCCAAAGAGGTCTTTGATGCCCCCCAACAGGGCAAATAGTCACTTAAATGTGAAGTAAAAACCAGGTTCATTCTGCAGAGCTGGGTCCCCTGTGTTTAGCTGGAGGGGAACCAGATGGCTACAAGCCTCCCCCACAGAAGGAACACATACACGACCGGTGCTGAGAGGGGTGATTGCCGGGGATGTCGTACAGGAAAGTGGTGAAGTACATGGATTCTGGAGCCAGGAGAGGAGCTGGGCCCCAGACCGGGTTCAGGTACCTCCTAACTATGGGACCTCAGACAGCTCACTTGACCTCTGAGCTGCATCTAGATAATGAACATAACAATAGGTTATCACCCACCATCCCGGATTTGTTAAGGTTATTAAATGAAGTGATACAATAAAGGGCTAGGCATGGGAAGCGTGCACAGGAAGTATCTGAGAGACGGAAGTAATTTTTATGGTTAAACTGCACTGCCTTGACGACGCTCCCTCATGGTCCCCTGGATGTTCCCCTTTTATAAAACCTATAGCCCATCCTGACTCATGTCTGATCCTTCTCACAGATAGTAAATACCCTGGGGGCAGGTGGACATGCCTGAATTCAGCCCCGTCAATCCAGGGCTAAGACACCTGGCTGATGTGTGGGACACATGTGTTGAGCATATCAATTAATTAGTGAATGAACCAATTAGTCTGCATTCAAATAGGGTCTATAATTATTTATTGAACTCCTCTATATGGAGAGAACTGGAAATGGAGCAGAGAACAAAACAACTCTCTGCTCCCACAGAGCTTAAATAGCAGTGAGGAGGCGGGTGGATGGTGTGCCTGGGTGGCGCAGTTGGTGAAGTGTCTACCTTTGGCTCAGGTCATGATCCCGGGATCCTGGGATCTAATCCTGCTTCAGGCTCCCTGCTTGGTGGGGAGTCTGCTTCTCCTTCTCTCTCTTTCTGTCTCTCAAATTAATAAATAAATCTTAAAAAAAAAAAAAGAGGAGGTGAAGGGAAAACAGGTACGTATACACATGACAACAGAAGCACAAGCAGCAAGTGCAAACACAGACAAGCAGAACTACGTCAAACTCAAATGCTTCTGTTCAGCAAAGGGACCACAACAGAGTGAAAAGTCAACATACAGAACGGGAGTAAGTATTTGCGGCCCATGTATCTGATAAGGGGTTAAATATCCAAAATACACAAGGAACTCCTAACACTCAACAGTAAAAGACAACAACTAGCTTGATTTTTTTAATACATTTATTTTTTTATTGGTATTCAATTTGTCAACATACAGAATAACACTCAGTGCTCATCCTGTCTAGTGCCCACCTCAGTGCCTGCCACCCAGTCACCCCCACCCACTAGCTTGATTTTTAAAAGGGCCGGAAGACTTGTACAGACATTTCCCCAAAGAAGAGACATCCAGACAGCCAACAGGCACATGAAAAGGTGCTCGACATCACTCATCATCAGGGAAATGCAAATCACAGCCTCACCCTCTTGAGGAGGGTTGACATCAAAGAAACAAAAGGTGGCCTGGCGAGCAATGCCAGGGATGCGGAGAGAAGGGAAACCTTGTTCAGGGCTGGGTGGGAATGCCAACCAGTGCAGCCAGCATGTTAAATGATATATGGAGGTTCTTCAGAAAATGAAAAATAGAACCACCCTGTAACCGAACAATTACACTTCTAGGTGTATATCCCAGGGGATTGCGATTGGGCTGGGAAAGAACTAGCTGCACTCCCATGTTCGGCCGCGACACTGCTCAGCAGTAACCAGGGCATGGAAACCACCTCGATGTCCCCTGATGAGTGAATGGATAAATAAAATGTGCTACAGGCCCACGACGGAATACTATGCGGCTTTTAAAAAGAAGGAGATCTGCCACGTGAGCCAGGCTGGATGAATCTGGAGGGCTTCGTGCTGCATGAAATAAGCCAGCCATGGAAGGATGTACATGGCATGATTCACTCAAGGGGTGTCTGAGACAGCTGATCTCAGAGAAACAAGAGGGGAGAAGGGTGGTTTGCAAGAGGCTTCAGGAAGGAGGGAGGGTGAGCTGCTTGCTGCTCACGGATCTAAGGTCTCAGCTATGTACGATGAGGAAGTGCCAGACGTCTCCTGTACGATACTGTCTGATGCACTTGGTTGAGAGTGTTCTGACCCCCACTAACAAAAAGAGAACAGATAATAACGCCCTGTCAGGGAGAGGTGAGTGCTGTGGACAACAGTGAAGCAAGATAAAGGAACCGAAAGGTGGCTGCTTCAGAAGGGTGGGTCAGGGGAAGGCCTCCCTGAAGAGGAGACCCCTGCACAAAGGACCAAAATGATTAGGAACAAGCCAAGCAAGTATCTGGGGAAGGAGTATTCTAGGCAGAGTAAAGTCAGTACAAAGGCACTGGGGCAGGAACTTACTGGGCAGCTTTAGGGAACTGGAAGGGACCCCTTTCCATCCTTTTTTTTTTTTTTTAAGATTTTATTTATTTGGGATCCCTGGGTGGCGCAGCGGTTTAGCGCCTGCCTTTGGCCCAGGGTGCGATCCTGGAGACCCGGGATCGAATCCCACGTCAGGCTCCCAGTGCATGGAGCCTGCTTCTCCCTCTGACTATGTCTCTGCCTCTCTCTCTCTCTCTCTCTGTGTGACTATCATAAATAAATTTAAAAAAATAAAAATAAAAAATAAACCTCAGTTTCCTTAGATGGAAAAGGAGGTTAGTATTTAAAAAAAAAAGATTTTATTTATTTATTCATGAGAGACACAGAAACACAGGAAGAGGGAGAAGCACGCTCCATGTAGGGAGCCCGATGTGGGACTTCATCCCAGGACTTCCAGGATCATACCCCGAGCCGAAAGCAGATGCTCAACTACTGAGCCACCCCGATGCCTTCCCCTCCACCCCTGGTCCCGCTTCTATCCTGATGCCTTCCTCCTAGACTCCCCAAACCTCCCACGGCAGCCCTACCCTCTCAGGCTCATGTGGCATCAGAGGAGAGGTGCCATCACACAGCCCCATCTTGGCTCGCCTTCTGCTTCCCTCTCCTGCTCTCTGCAATCCACAGGCCCCTGGAGTAGCCTCCTATGTGGCCAATGCCTCAAATGCCACCTGGAAACACAGTCCTTTCAGGACAGCAAGCCGGGGTCCCAAGTACAACTGTTACCAGTGTCTGGGTCCCATTCTCTGTGCCTCCAAAACCTGTCACATGCTGGACCAAGGCTGGGGCCTGAACTCCCAGCCTTGAATCCTGGCTCCATCCCCCACTTGCAGTGTGACCTTGGACAAGTCATTTAATCTCTCTGACACTTGGGTGCTTTTGTATGATGGATATAATAACCTCTAGCCCTGCTAATCCCCGGGATGCTCAGAAAGATCAAATGAAAGAACATGTATAAAAAACATGTTATAAATTGCCTTACAAATGTGGAGCTCGCCTTTATTTTAAAGATGAGGGATTGATCTGAGGCTCTGATCTCCTTTCTCCCCAGATACCACCAACAGTCCAGAAGAGGAATAATAAAGGTACAGGCCCACCAGATAAATAGAATGATGGGGGCAGGTGGGAGTTCAGTGGAAGAGAGTTTTTGTCAAGTGTGTGGGAGGAAGAGGGGGGACACAAGGAGGGTGACCCAGTCCAGAGACAGAGTACAACCTCATGAGACATTTTTAAAGGGAATAGGAAGATGGGGCCAGGGCATGCTGAAAATGACCCTCAGTTGTAAGTCTATATGCAGAATCATCAAACCCACCCCCACAGCAGCCAAACAGTGTCCTGCAGAGGGTGGGGAGGGGTGGCATCAGGCTGTCAGTGAGTTCCTACAAACAAAAACAAAAACAAATGGTCATTCCCAGTGAAAAGATTTGGACATTCTGGCAGCAAAAAGAGCACCATCTCCAACAATGACTCTTGAGGAAGGCCTGCTCTCTGACAAGAGTCCCTATCAGCTTTTTATTGTTCCAAATTTCAATATGAATAGATATCAAGGATCACCTGGTCAACCAGAAGGAAACAGATGAAGACAAACCACCAGTCAAAATACCCAAAGAGAAAATGACTAGAGGGACACAATACAACTTTCACATATTCTTAGTGTCTCCAGAGACAGTCTAGAAGGCGTGACATCCTTAAAGATAGGAACAGATTGCTCTTAGGACAAAGAAAGAGCTCTGAGGTGGGGATGAGTTCGTTCAGAGCTGGAAAAGGAAGTCAAGGACTCTTCTCAGAAAGTGGAAGTGATTAGCAGAGACAGAAAGGATAAGATCAAACAGGGAGAACTACGCTAGCCATCCAGAAGGCCCACTGCACACCTCCTACAAGGACTAGAAAGAGGAAGTGGAGAAGAATGGGAGAGAAGGAAACATTTTGAAAATCCAAAAGAACATTCAAGAGTTTGGACACAAGCCTCAGATTAAGAGGTCCGATGGGCATCTACCCGGAAGCACTTGATCCAGACACTTCAGAACCGCAGCATCTGGAAACACTCCAGAGAGAAGACAGGTCATGCCCAGTGGAGCTACCAGCATCATGCTCCCATAGCCCCAGACACTACAAGCAATGGGGAAAGTCCTTGGCATTCTGAGGGAGGATGATTTTCTCCTAAAATTCCAACCCCAACAAACCAATAATCAGGTATAAGGGAAGGATTAACTCATTTAGATACAGAACTCAAAACCTG